GAGCAGCAATGGACTTTGTGCCAACTCCTTAGGTCAATCATTAGGAACGAATGAAGGAAGGATAGTCGATTCTTAGCGTAAAACCTTAAGAAATAAAGAAGATAATCGGGATGGGTAATTGGGTTGATTGTTTGATGATTGAATATAATAGTTATATTATTGTGGGTTGAAAACCTTATATGCTCACCAGGCTCCCAAGCCTGACCCGCTCAGTTTTCTTTGCATTATAGGTAATGGCACAAGAGTAAAAGTTGTTGGACTTGACAAGAGATTTTGGATTATAGATCAGTAGTTATAAATAACTATTGTTAGGTTTATTTTATATTGTTTATGCTTTTGGTATGTATCGGAACATGGCATCCCGAGATTTTGTTATACATTTCTTTAAAGAAATGCTTTGATAAATTATTATCACATTTTGTTTTCGGAACAAGTTCCGCAGCAGTTTTCTTTAAACGATTACTCTGATTTTAAAACAACACATAAACAAATTGGTCTTTTCTGGCCATGAAAATGGGGATGTCACATTCACCTTCACTTCTAGGTTAAAATTGTGGTCGTATTTCTCTCTCAAGGTCGAGCATTCTAATAGTAAACACTTCATCTTCACTGCCTTTTGTCCTTTTGTTGACCATTGTCTCATCAGTGAATACTACAAGTAACGCTTTATGTTTCTCTATTTGTTATCTGAGTTTTTTGAATAATACATATAATCTTCATTATCTAAATTTCATTCATGCATTATTTTATGCTTATGTCTCTCATGCTTGTTCTATATTGAATCCTGACCTTTTTTTGTTATGGGGGTTATTTTGATTTTGCGTTTGATTTTTTTATTTCAAGTTTTGTATTCACAGGAAATATCTCAATTTTTTTTTTATTTTTCTTCGTAAGGTTTTTATCTGTCCATTAGTTTTTCAGTTATCTGTCCAAAGTGCATTTTTATCAACATGAAATCTTTTTCCCAACACAACATTTATATTTACAACTCGTGAAAATGCATCAAATCATTTCCGCATCGTTCTGATCTCAATACTTCCGTCAAACTCAATAGTTTTCTTCCTAAAACGGTGACCCTTCGGAAGGAATCATTAATGTCCCATGTATATAGTTTTTTTTGCAATTTGCTAACCATATCGAGCTTGTTTGATCTTCTCAAATTGGACAAGCTTTCTTACCCTTTGTTTTGTATCCTGACAAGTTACTGTATGCTAGAAAATCACTTTTAGTACAAAAAATCATGGCCCACAATTGAATTTTTTTTCTTATAAGCATCATATACATCTACACCCGAACTCCAAAGAGTTTTTAAGTCATCAATCAAAGGAGACAAATACGTATCAATATCATTACCAGGTTGTCTCAGCCCCTGAATCAACAACGAGATCATAATGTATTTTCGTTTCATGCATAACCACAGTGGAAGATTGTAAATGCATAAAAGAACTAGCCACGTACTATGACGACTGCTTATGTTCCCAAAAAGGATTGATGTCATCTGAACTAAGCCCAAACTGTATGTTTCTCATCTCTTTTCCAAATTCAGGATACTTCTTATCAATATTTCTCCACTGAGGCGAATCCACAACATGTCTTAGTCTTGGTACAATAAGGAGATACCACAAGATTTTAGCTAGTGGTCCATTTTTTTCCACATCATCATCTACTTCATCTGAATCTTTTTTCCGTTTATACCTCGATGCATCGCAAAAAACACAATTTTGTTTATTCTCGAACTCCTTTCTATACAACATACAATTATTTAGACATGCATGTAGTCTTTCAACTTCCAATCCCATCGGACACATTAGGTTTTTTGCTTGATTGGTAGAAATGGGTAAATCATTATCTTCCGGAAGAATGTCATGTAAAACCTCTAATAGACTTGTGAAACTTTTATCACTTCATCCGTTTTTTGACTTTAAGTTAATCAATCTCAATACCACATCAAGTTTCATACATTTGGAACCGTTATATAACACTGTTTCTACTTCTTCAAATAGGCGTTGTAATTTTTCTTGTTCAACATCACCCATATTAGTCTCCATGTCATCAAACATTTCATTGAAATTGTCATTTGGGTCATTTGAATGGTGATCATCATCAACATATGAATCGTTGTTGTATGTACTATTATTATTATTTAAATTGCTCGACGATGTGGCACGATCAAGAAGTGTTTCTTCATGTCTTGACCAACAAGTGTAATTAGACACAAAACCATTTTGCAACAAATGATACTCTATTTCTCCAGTACAATTAAACGTTTTAAAGTTTTTACAAGGTTACAAGGACTAGAAATCGATTCATTTCCTTTATTCACGCGATTTTGCATCGACAACTGATGTGCACAAAAGTACCCACTAATTTTAATATTTATATCCTAACAAACTTAGACTAACTATGCACTTATAGGCAGTGTACCTAGTCAGATTACAGTATAGCTTAGGTAAGTCGGGTGTCGATCACAGGGAACGGTAGTGAGTTAATTTAAAATATTTGATTATCGGTTACAGGTCACACGAAAAGAATAAAGAAATAGTTTAATAAATCTCAAACTAACAATTAATTAACAACTCTCGATAAACTAACAGGAAAGCAAATCTCTTCAGGTACTTTGGTTTAGACAAATTACACCTTAAAAACATAGACAATTGCATACACAAATTAATTTATTCATGTTCAGCGATTCCTAAAATGATTAGATTCGCGTTCACTATAACTAATCCTTTAGCAAACAAGTCAATTCAAACAGTGATCAGTTGGTTAAACTAACATGCTTCCTAGTGTTCAGTTCGTATCAAGCAAGACTTGTAATAATAGTTAATCAAATTACTAATTCAATTTAACCTCTTGTTGATGGTCATCAAACAAGGCTCACACATTAGCTTACTTCTTCTCAAGTTAATCCTAGTTTCACATTCATTATTCCTAGACTTATAACCTCGATGGTCATCAAAATCATAAGAGACAAGCAGTCAAGCGGATGTTCATGCAACTCAATTCAATTTACAATTAACAGCAAATAATTATCATTAATACGTAATGATCTTTTAACAAGCTTGTCAAAATAAATTAAACACAAACAAACTATTTAATATAGCAATTAGTCTAATAATCAAAGCTTCATTCAATCATAAACACAAAGTAAAAGGATTTTACACCAAAATCAGAAACTAAATATACAATAGTAACACAATGGAATGCTAAACATGGTCACGTTAGCAACCCATATGATTACCGACATGTATCCACTCTCCAATCCTTCCGATCTCCGCTCCCATTAGCTTAACCGCCTTCCGGCCGCCTTCTAGACCCTCAAAACGGCTTAACAAAAGTTTAATATCGACTAAATTAAGTTGGAAGTCGAATCCCCCCTTCTGGTTAGCTGAAAATCGACTTTTATAACCCTTGTAACCGACTTACGTATGCTGGGCGTAAGTCGGATTACGCTGGGCGTACTGAAGATTTCTACGCGATTGAGTTTATCTGGTGCCAGCCATTACGCGGGGCGTAATCCAATATTACGTTGGGTGTAATTCAATTTGGTCGTTACGCAGGGCGTAATTGCTATTTACGCGTGGCGTAATTGGTCTAATCCAGCATTTTTAATTTCTTTTAGCTTCTAAGCCCAGTTTCCGCTTCAGTCTCTTCTTTTGTGCTTTATCGACAACGAATAACTGCAAAACATAATTCGAAGCATTATGAGTACTTTTCAGTTTTAACAGAGAATAATAAAGGCCAAAATATTAAGGTATAATGCATAAAAATATATATAAAAATACACGTATCAAAATACCCCACACTTAGCCTTTGCTTGCCCCCAAGCAAATTTACTTTTATTTTACTAAAATCGCACTAAACAATCCATTTAAAACTCAACCATTATGTCAAGACCGCAACACATGCATGTGTGTCTAAAATTTCCCTAAAGTACCCCCCCATACTTTAAATACTGACAATATTCATAAACACTTGCCCACTTTTTCCGAACAATGCTCATTTTATGCAAGCCTCCGAATCCATCCGCAGAAAACCTCCTAACCTCAAAGTATTTTTAGTTGAGCAACCTAAGCGTACATAATCTAGAATTATAATTTATGATACCACTATGGAGCTTTTTAGGAATTCTTCACTTTCTTGATAATTTGATCTTTGATTTCTTTGAATTCACCACCTTATTTGATTTGATTTCATGGTATCTTCAATTTTTGAATTTCTTGGAATTTTGATCTTTTGATCTTCACTTTATCTGCTCCAAAATTCTTCAAACTTTTCTTGCAATTCTCTCTTTTTTTTTATATTACATGTACCTCACTTTTTTCACTCAAAACCTACATACTTAAGCAGAGGCGCTCAACCTCAACCTTTATTGGTTAATGATAATAATTTTCCTAGATACATTTCAGGTTTAGGCTGCTAAACATATTGCATCACTCAAACCAAGCGGGGTTATGTTTTTGTTCCATGATTTCACTAAAATAAGGGAGGCCACAAATGCACTATAACGTGTATTGGCTCAACTAAACATTTGAGTTCTCATCGGATCATCTCATACAATATTAGCAAAATTTTAAATTATCCCTAGATTTTTCTAAATTAAACTATTATTTCAAGTTTTTTTTAAAAAATTTTAAATTTTCTAAATCTAGCACTTTCCAAACTATTATTTCATTTTTATAATTTACTTTTACCGATCCCCCTACCCCACACTTATTTCATACAATGCCCTCATTGTATGCTAAAACACATTAAGAACATAAAAAGGGAGAAAAAGGAACAGACTCCCCTAGGTAGTTGTGGCGAGATCGAATGGGGCTGCTACAAGTTGCTTCAAATATTGATGAAAGACTGAAAACTGGAACTGCTGCTTCAGAATTTGCCGAAAAATAAAATCAAAAAATGAAGACCGCCGTCTTCAAAAATGTGGTGCAAAAGATTGCAAACAAATGAAATGTGTAATAACTATGACATGGGAAAGTGTCGACCACGTCGTCTCATCAATAATGGCATCCTCTTCTCGTGATGAAAAACTCCCCCACAACATAGGAAAGTGTCAACCATGTCGTGGCAGCCGGGATGATACTTCTTCCTTGCGTCAAAATAAAACTGAAATCAATATCCACCCCACACTTATGACAAATTGTGGGTCTTGACTATAATCTTCGAACTCTTACATGACTCTCTCTCTAGCAACAGTCGGACCTAGCTGCTGAACTTACTGCCAGCTTTCTAAGAGCGAAAATTCTGCAGAGATCTACACAACCAAAGAGCATCAACATGGAAAACAAAAGTAAAACAAACTAAATTAAAGTTTAATTACATAAAAAAACTAAAATAACACAAAAAATAAAAATTAATAGGATCACTCATCATTTCGATCATCATGCTGCTGTGTCCCAGAAGTATCGGCCCCATCATATCGTGACTGGAATGGTGGTGGGTAGGGAACCGAATACTGAAACCCCTGGTGGCCAAAGAATGCGTTCAACGCATCCCCATACCACTGTTGTTGCCTGTCCACATGTGCAACGTACTCACTAAGGTTTTGGACCCTTATGTCAAGACGGTCAATGCCCAGAGCTAGGTAGCGCATATCAATCTCCGGATCAGGTCCGTGTTGCGCTCCCCGAGGAGCAGGTCTATGCTGCTGGACCCATCTCGACTGTGGCTCGACGGCACCCTCCTCATCCGCTACATCATCTGCTCGTACTCGCAAGACACCATCTCCGCCCCACTCCAATACACGCATCGACTCTAACAACTGAAGGCTCATCGGCCTCATATCGTGGAACACCATCGATCTCATGATCTCACGCGTCAGCAACTGATATGACCGGGCTAATCGCGTGATAAAATGCCCTCCGCAAATCAGGCTATCCTCCCGAAGTCCCCTGGCGCTCCATCCCAAATATGCAGCTAAAGCAACTGGAAGGTTCAGGTGCCTCCCTGGAGTAACAAGTGCCCATAAAAAATACAAATCTATCGAAGGCACTCTCTCACTATTCTTGTGATGCGTGAGAGACATAGAAATCGAACGGTGCAGCAGTCTGTATGTAGTAGACCGAATCATCCTCCCTCGTGTGGTAGATGGTGTATAAACTCCTCCCGTAATCTCGGCCCAAAAAGTGTTATCGTTATAGTCTTCTGGCCGGTCTGTGAGACAATCAGAAAGGAATGTCGAGAAATGGACACTCCTCGTCTCATCGGTTGTGTAAATACCCACTCCAGTCGCAAGCTCTATCACGCTGTATTCCCGGCTCGCTCCCCCCAGTCTGAAGGCAAAGGTTGTCCTGTCATCGGGTGCCTTCCTAGGATCATAGGAAACTATAGCGTAAAACTCCAGCAAAAATTTCCGATAAACAGGCTCCTGGATCCTGAACAAACGTGCCCATCCCTGACACACGAACAAGTCCACACCACTCGTGTCCGAGTACGTGTATTGCAAAAATTCCTGGATCAATGCAGCTAGTCCAGTCCGGGTCACCAATTCCCAGTCAAATGAGGGTGCTATATCGATCTCCTCGGTGAGCAACAAACTTAAATTGGTGACATATCGTGCCCGGGTTGCATCGTTCAGAGTTTGTGGAAATTGTAAGAAACGGTGATCGGTCACATCCTCGGGTGGGTTGGTCCTTTGAGTTCTTTGGGCTATAACCTGCACATATTAACACAAGCACAAAACCAAACAAAATATAACAGCATTAATAAATTTTAAACCAAAAAAAATTGGAGTTGGACATGGACAGTAAGCTGGGCGTACATCCAGCGTACGCTGGGCGTACATCCAGGTTCCTCGATTCTATTTTCGGCGTCTCCTAAAATCAATACTCATGAAAAAGCTTTCAATTCACGCATATATACAGGCAGTGTAGTAGAGAAAACGGGACCATATCTAATATACCACCTCGTGGTCCAAGGCAGTAAAAAAACGGGACCACTCTTTGACTTATGAATCAATCCCTTGTAATCCCTTTGTCTATTCAAGATTAACAAACATTTAACAGGGAAACTTTATAAAAGCAGTCACGAATCGAATTCAAAAGAGCGTACGCTAAGCGTCCGTCCCCGAATGCAATATCGATGGGTCTATCACGGGGTTAAGGACAAATTAAGTCCTACGGTTCAGTTTATTGATAGAAATCGGTCCATTCAAGTGGTAATCAGAACATACATTTGTGAAATCGGCCCTAATTCAAGAACCCTATAAACCCTAGATTTCGAACAAAGGCAATATGCAACCAATTTCATCGATTGAAACATAAATCCATAACATTGAGTACCCGAAAAACATACATGTGTGCCGAATTTTACAGGAAAAAAATCGAGATTCTTGGACATAGTTTGTCGTCACAGTTCGTGTGTGTGAAGGAAGGAGTTGTGAAAAAGTAACAAAAAAGTCAAGGGTCAAAAGATATAACCTAGTCGTCATCTTACGTTGGGCGTAACGCGATGTTACGCGGGGCGTAAGCCCAGCTCCATGAAAATCCATACGCGATCAGTGGTTAATTACGCTTGGCGTAATCAAACTTACGTTGGGCGTAATTTTAAATGAAAATTTTCCTTTTTCTTAATTGAAATTCCTTTCTTTTAACTAATTAATTTAGGGACTTATAATTACAATTAATTATTTTTCTTTTTAATTGCTTCAACAACTGTTGACTTTCCGATGAGTGATAAAAAAATGAGACGTCATAATCGCTTGTCTTTGTCGAGATCAAACAACAACGGTTGATCAAAAACCTTTGCACGCAAGAATTGGTTTGCGAAAACACCCACTTTCGGGACCCGTTAGATTATTTCCTTTGTTTTCTTTGCACCTTTAACTAAAAGTGGAACAAGAAGTGACCTAACTAGTCAAGAACAGTAAGAGCTTGGTCTTCCACTTAACCACCACAATACGCCTTGCTATACTACGCCTCGTGGATTGAGTTGGACAAATCAACGAAGTAGTAGGCTAAGCAGGTCAAGAATTCCCTAATCGCTTTAATTCTCGAAACCCATGCAAAAAGTAAAGTCAAGCAATGTGTACAATCCCAAATTACTGCAAATAACAACAAGAACCTTCCCGACAAGTGAAATGATATCAACAAAAATCAAACTAAAAATAAAAACTAACTAAAAACAAATAACGATTAATCAAATAAACTAAATTAATGACAAATCGTTCCCCGGCAACGGCACCAAGAACTTGATGTGCACAAAAGTACCCACTAATTTTAATATTTATATCCTAACAAACTTAGACTAACTATGCACTTATAGGCAATGTACCTAGCAAGATTACAGTATAGGTTAGGTAAGTCGGGTATCGATCACAGGGAACGGTAGTGAATTAATTTAAAATATTTGATTATCGGTTACAGGTCACACGAAAAGAATAAAGAAATAGTTTAATAAATCTCAAAGTAACAATTAATTAACAACTCTCGATAAACTAACAGGAAAGCAAATCTCTTTAGGTACTTTGGTTTAGACAAATTACACCTTAAAAACATAGACAATTGCATACACAAATTAATTTATTCATGTTCACCGATTCCTAAAATGATTAGATTTGCGTTCACTATAACTAATCCTTTAGCAAACAAGTCAATTCAAACAGTGATCAGTTGGTTAAACTAACATGATTCCTAGTGTTCAGTTCGTATCAAGCAAGACTTGTAATAATAGTTAATCAAATTACTAATTCAATTTAACCTCTTGTTGATGGTCATCAAACAAGGCGCACACATTAACTTACTTATTCTCAAGTTAATCCTAGTTTCACATTCGTTATTCCTAGACTTATAACCTCGATGGTCATCAAAATCATAAGAGACAAGCAATCAAGTAGGTGTTCATGCAACTCAATTCACTTAACAATTAACTGCAAATAATTATCATTAATACGTAAGGATCTTTTAACAAGCTTGGCAAGATAAATTAAACACAAACAAACTATTTAACATAGCAATTAGTCTAATAATCAAAGCTTTATTCAATCATAAACACAAAGTAAAAGGTTTTTACACCTAAATCAGAAACTAAATACAGAATAAAACATGGTCACGTTAGCAACCCATATAATTACCGACACGTATCCACTCTCCAATCCTTCGGATCTCCGCTCCCGTTAGCTTAACGGCCTTCCGGCCGCCTTCTAGACCCTCAAAACGGCTTAACAGAAGTTTAATATCGACTAAATTAAGATGGAAGTCGAATCCCCCCTTCTGGTTAGCTGAAAATCGACTTTATAACCCTTGTAACCGACTTACGTACGCTGGGCGTAAGTCGGATTACGCTGGGCGTACTGAAGATTTCTATGCGATTGAGTTTATCTGGTGCCAACCATTACGTTGGGCGTAATCCAATATTACGATGGGCGTAATTCAATTTGGTCTTTACGCGGGGCGTAATTGCTATTTACGCGGGGTGTAATTGGTCTAATCCAGCATTTTTAATTTCTTTTAGCTTCTAAGCCCGGTTTCCGCTTCAGTCTTTTCTTTTGTGCTTTATCGACAACGAATAGCTGCAAAACATAATTCAAAACATTATGAGTACATTTCAGTTCTAAAAGAGAATAATAAAGGCCAAAATATTAAGATATAAGGCATAAAAATATATATATAAATACACATATCAACAACCCTAAAAAAAGTTCGAACACCCTCTATATAACGTTCAGAAAAACGTGAAGCTTTGTGCATCCAATAATCACGATTCATCTGAAAATTAAAATAAACAAACAAAGAATTTAATATATCGATTTTCAACAAACAGGTTATGTAAATTTTAACATGTTTAATAATCTATAAAAATCAAATTAAAAAATAACAATTAAACAATCATTTAATAAATAAATATGTAGAATAAAATCAAAGGAACAATAAAATTAAATTTACTTGTAATGAAGATAACTAGGCAATTTAATGAGGCTATATTGAGTTTTTGTGCAGCTGCAGAGGGAATCTATGAAGAAGAAGAGCGTTCACATTTAAAACAGAAACCCTCGTAGGATATACTGAATTACTGATAAATCTCTACCTTTTAATTGATGCGTTTTTCAGAAAATCGTATCAAAAAGTCAAAATTTAATAATGTGGGTTATAAACAAAAACGCACTAAAAGCTCATAATTTAATTGTGTGTTTACAACAAGTAGCATCAAAAAATCATTTTTGATGCTATTTTTCTTGAACCACATTAATAAATCTATTGAAGGATACTTGTAAGTGCTCTTTTAATGCAGTTTTCATATTTTTTTTGATGCTACAACCATCTAATAAGGCTGTTTTTATATACAACCGCCTAAAAAAGGATTCGCACTATAAAAACTCTTATGTACTTAGTGATGATTTGCATTTGTTAAAGAATTTTTAATCATAATAAGTTATAACACTGAATTATGCATCTTTCTTTTTATGTTATAATATTGTTCTTGCACTTGATAATTATTCTTTCATTTCTGCCCATCAAAATTTCAAGATTCTTTTTATTAAACTATCTTTTTTGACTTTTTACAATTTAATTTTATGTAAAACTCTTAGTCAAGTGTTAATTTTAAAACCTCAAAATGCAACCAATTAGCTAATGGTTTTCTTTGGGTATGTTGGGCGTACCCAAGGGTATCGTTATCGAACTAAGATGGAAGGACCGCAAAGGAAATGTTCGTACGTGGGGCGTACGCAACAGAGGACCAAAACCCTAATGCGCGGTCTTGCCCCTATTTAAACACATCTAAGCCTTTGGACCCAACCTTATTCGCCCCTAGAGCCTCATTTTTCTCCCTCGTCACCTGAGAATATTTGTGAGAAAGAGTTTGAGCCTAAGGAGTGGGTTTTGTGCTCTTCGTAAAGTCCATTCAAGAAGAAGGAGATCCTAAGCAAGCTTGGAGTGGCTTGGAGTTTCAAGATTCTACACTTAGTTCACCTTGGAAGCCTCCTAAAGGTATAAAGTCGGGACCTTTCCATCTTGTTCTATAGATCTAGTTAGGGTTTCCATTTTGTCCCCTTTAGTTGGATCTAGACCTTCTCTTGGATGTAAAACAACTCTAGAGACTTAGATGTCCAGAGCTGAGCTTTGTAAGCATGCTAAGTACATAAGGTTACGAGCTTGGTGGGTGCTAAGACTCCAAGCATGATTTGAGAGCTCTTACTTAAGGTCTTAGAGTGAGAAATGAGGTTTTGAGGTCCTTCATAGCATGTAAGGTCATAAAGTTGCCAGCCTTATGACCTAGGTCATTAAGATGTGCTCAGATCTGATTTTGGGACGGTGAACCATCAAGTAATAAGCACTTAATGGAAAGAGTGCTTAATCTATTCCTATGTTGGGCGTAGCATAGAGAACGTCACGTGTAATGTTCAGAAGCCCGTACGATGCACAAACCATGGTGGTACGCATGGTGTACGCACCCCTGATGGACTTGGACTTGTTTTGGACCCATAAGCCTTTTGGCCTGGCCATAATTCGAGTTAATGGGCCAACTGATCAGTCTTGGGCCGGAAGTATTATAGTTGGGCCTTGATGGGCCATATGGCCCATTAATAAATTTTGAACATGGACCTTGGGGCCCATTAGCCAAGGAAGACTCTTGGTCCATTAGGAAAGGACTTTGGGGTTGAGTTTTCAGTTTGGCCATGATCAAACTCTAATCTTAGGTTAATATTGTTATTGTTCAGCACTAGTGGTTTCGGACTGTTAAGAGAGCAGCTATTGTATTTAGCAGTTGGAGGTGAGTCTTCTCACCATACCTATGGGTCTACGACACCAAGACCGGACCATTATGTGATCATGTCATGTGTGTGTT